CGGCCCCGCTTTTCCCGTAGGGGGCTGGCCACATGGTGGCCACGGACCGGCCGCTCGCTGCCTTCACCATGTTCAGCCGCTTCATTAAGAACGAGCCTTACTAGGAGCTGTGGAGGCAGCGCCTGGCGCCCCGGCTGCCCTCTCCACCCGGCACCTCCCGCCCGTCCTTGGTGCTGCGCCCAGGCTCCCTGCACCATGAAACGAGTCACTCCTGCAGCCGGTGGGGCTCCCTGCTCCAGCCCAGGGGCTCTGCCCAGCCCTGCAGGATGGTGCCCAGCTGGACAGGGTGGAGGAGGGGGCTGCCTGCGGTGGGTGAGGGGCACGGGGTCCCAGGGGCTCTGTCCTTGCTGGGTGAGGAGTTGTGCCCCTGCTGCAGCCGCCTCCTCCCTTGTGGGTTCTCGTGTCGCCTCCTCCCCGTCTGGGGAGTCAGTTACTTCCCTCCTGGGAAGGGAGCAGTCCCCACCACTTCCCCTCTGCCCCGCGGCCCCTGCATGCGCACAGCCCTGGGCAGGCTCCGAGGCCGCTGCCCCCTGCTAGGAATGCAGTTCATGTGGCGGCTGCGGGCAGCTGGGCGCTGCTCCTGCAGGGACTTTCTGCTCCCCTCCAACCCACTCCCACATCTGATCCCGGTGAAGGAGGCTTACCACAAAGACAATCCCACTGCCTGGGGCACGCAGCGCTTCTGGGAACTTGCAATAAACTCTCTGAACAAGGTGGTTCTGCTCCTCACTGCCCAGCTCCTCACACCGCCCTGCAACCCCCCCGCTTTGCTTTCCTTTGAGGAGTACCAGTATGCACCAAAGATCTAGCGGAGGTGAGTGCTGACACGCTGTGCTGGGGAGCCAGAGCCTGTGGTCTGTGCCCCCCTCGCAAAAGCAGGGGAAGTGCAGTTGCTCTGAGCCCCTCTGCCACTGTTCTGAGCTGTGTCTGCCTCCCAGGTACCTTGGCCGGGAGAGCGGCGCTGTCTGCCTCCTTCCCCATCTCTCCCCACGTGCTGGCAGCCGTGCAGTCCGGCGTGGGCACATCTCCAAGCAATGAGGCCGCGTGGGTTGGAGTCAAGTGGTTTATTAGTGTAACGAGAAGGGGTGCAGCAGGGGTTCCCAGAGCGGCTGTCTCCGCCTTGCTGCTACCCGCCAGGGCATGGGTGCCCTGCAGAATGTGCCAGTGGTACCGGGGAAGCTGCTTCCTACCTACAGTCTACGGGTCCAGCCCGGGATCTGCCCTCGGTCCAGGGTGAAGGAGCGAGTGGGGAGAAGAGCTAGAGCTGGCGGGGGTCCATGCTGGGCTCTGCAGGCCTTGAGCTGGGGTAGGCGGGGGCGGTAGGGGCCGGGCGGTACTTCTCAATCCCCTCCCGCAGCCCCTTGGAGAAGTGGAGATCAGCTCCCACCGTGAGGAATCCCTGCGAAGGCGAAGAGGATTAGCGCAAGGCTGGGTGTAATTGCGCCCTGCCCCAGCAGGACATGGTCCCTGCACCCGCTGGGGACGCCCGGGCTGTCCCCATCCTGCCACGTACCGCATGGTTGGTGACCACCTCCTTGGTGAAGTCCATGCCTTCTGGCAGTGGGATCTGCACCCCCTTTTTAGTCCTCTCTGCAGGGAGGGAGAGATGCAGTGAAAGCGAGTCCTGCTGTGCCCCGGCCCCAAGCCCAGCTGCCTGCGGGCAGCGGTGGCGGCTACCGTTAATGATGGGCATGATTGTCAGCTGCAGCAGGGTCTTCAGTGGGGCCTGCAGTGAGAACAGCTGGGGAGAGAGGAACGTGGGTGAGCACACGGGCAGCAGCGGCAGACCTGCCTGCCTGGGCAGGGCATGCCTGCGCTTAGCACTGGGTGGGCTAGAAGGAGTGTCCTGCGATGCACAGCCCCTCCCCAAGCCTGCCCCGTGCTGTGGCTGGGTGCTAGCAAGGGAAGCCGGACCGCCCCCCCCCCCGGGGCCGGCACCGGTCCGCTCACCGCTACCGACCG